AGTGCTCAAGTGGTGAATTTAATAATTATAAGTAATTTTTAATTTAGACATTTTCTAAAATTTAATTTGGAATTGGTCATTAAATTTAATACAAGATGGCAGCATAACTGCCTCTAGTCAAATTAATCAATTTCTAATATTTAATTATAGCCTTTACATAGCCCAAGAATTTGGCATATTGTTTGGCGTGTTTATTATATAACGGACTATGGTTGTTGATGTTTATATGTAATATGTCTGAACACAAGTTTGGAAAAATGTTTGATCACAAGCAATGCTAAGATGCTAGCAGAACGAGTGCTGAAAAAAATATCAAAAAAATGTTTCATATTTTTTTGATATTTTTTTGTTTTCTGCAAATCAAATTCGCCTTCCAGGTTGGTTCAATCTGCGAGTGTTGTAGCATGCACACAATCTGGGACTTCCCCTCTCCTCATCACTCATTATGTCACTTGTTAAGCAAGTCATTTTTTTTTTACAATTTGTTTTGCTCGTTAAGTGGGTTTCCACTATATATGTGCACTGATCATAAAAGTTATGTAAATACAGCTACATAAGTTGCATATCAACTTATATGAGATGTATATTGGAATAACTTTCATTTTTTTTATGTTTAATAGTATAATTGTTAAATAAAATCTACAGTATTTAAAATTTATATAATAAATATTTGATATTTTTAGCAATTTTCCAAAAATTGATTAAGGTTTTGCTTTAAAAGTTTTATTTTTAACATACATTAAATTTTTTGGAAAAGATAACATATTAGTTAAAAATGAAAATTTTAAGTAATAGAGAAAATTTATTAAATAAAATGAAATTTCTTAACTAAATTTCAGTAAGTGTTCATTCTGTGGCAGAAGCATTATTACTGTTTCTTGAAGCTCTTGCAGAACCAGTGATTCCATATAGTTCTTATCAAGCATGTTTAGAATGTTCAAATAACTTTGCTCAATGTAAACAGGTAAATTTTTTAGAAAATATTAAATTTTTATTGTGAAATAAATTGAATTTTAAAAATATAAACAATTCGATTTTATAAAATTAGCCATTTGAGTAATAAAAATAAATATGCAGAAGGAATTGAAATTTTATATACATACAAAGAATTCAATTTTCAGTTTTTATATGTGTATAGTCTTTGTTTATTTATGCCATATTTTACAGTGAATATATGTCATAATATATGCATGTATGCATAAAATATGCAATAAATGAAAAATTTATTGCATATTTTATATACAGTAATTCTACTGTATAAATTTTATATTAACTTATTTTACTTACTTAGTCAAATCTCAAAGTGATTAAAATAACTTTAATTAGGATAAGTTAGATTAGGATAAGTTTTGAGTATAAAATTTTCAGTATAACATTCATATTTGTATAATTCTTTGTTAAAACTTATTCAGTTTGAATAAGTTACAGCAGAATTTTATAATAAATATGGAAAAATTTACAATTTATATTATAATTCACTATTTTTTGTTTAATCAATTAAATGTACGAGAGTCAAAGATTATATCAAAATTAATAATGGAAATGATAAATTAAATCAAANACTAACTACAGTGGTACCTTGGTATACGTCCAATCCGGAATATGTCCTATTTGGATGAAACAAATTTTGCTCGGTATATAACTTTTGTTCGGTATACAACTTAATTCAATTATACGCGCCATCTATGAACAAGTAGCACTATCAGTGTACTAGACCAGATTAGACGTTCGCGGTGCCATGGTTTATAACTTTGTTAAATTTCTTCTGATTTTAATTTGTAAGTAAAATTTTATTATTTTTATTAATCATGAATTGCAAAAATGCAAATGAAAAGCAACAGAAAACTAAAAAAATGACTAGAATCATAATGGAACTGGAAAAAGAGATTGTTGAGAAATATGAAGGTGGCACGCATGTTTGAGATTTTAACTGTTGCATACCATGTTCCAAGAACAACGATATCGACAATCGTGAAAAATAAAGACATTATTAAATCTGCTAACGTTGTGAAAGGAGTTAAATCAATTTCTAAACAGAGATTGAAGACATTAGATCTTTTGCTTTGGATAACTGAAAAACAGAGTGCGGCGACATCATATCAGAAGCAATTATTTGCGCGAAAGCTAAAAAGATACATGCTGATCTCATGAAAAATCAAGCAGGAACTAGCCAGGAAAGAGAGGTGTTTAAAGCCAGCCATTTTTTTTACATGAGAACAGATTAATTATTTTTACATTACTTCTTATGGGAAAGGTTGATTTGGTTTGGTATACGTCCTATTCAGTATAAGTTCAAACATCAGGAATGGATTAAGGTTGTATACTGAGGTTCCACTGTATTTTGTTTGTTTTCTAAGACTATCTGAAGAATATGAAGAATGTATTTTTAGTATGGTTTCTGGGTGTGTAGTTGCTTGAATTTGTGCACAAGCTTTTGATATATTATATTTGCTGTTTGGTTATGTTGATGTCAATTTGTGTTAAAAGCTTGCAACTTGATGTGATATGTTGTATAGTCTCAAGCATGATGTTGTATTTCTTACAAGTGCCATCTGTGAACATTGTCTTTTAAGATGTGCTTCCTGTAGTTTCTTGTATTTATGATCTGGTTGTGTAAGACAGTGTTTCTCAAAGTTTTTGATCAGCAGCCCCCCTTTTGCACTTAAAAATTTCAAAGGACACTCTGAAGAATGAGTATGTGTAGAAAACATCCCGAAGGGGGATTAATTTAAATTCAGGAGGAGTTAATTTCTTTTGTTTAATTTCATTGAAACACTCATAATTTTAATAGCAGGTTTATTTTTTAGTATCATTAAAAATTAATAACTTATCTTTGGTACATCTTTGAACAAAATATATATATGTTCTATATATATGAACAAAATATTCATATTCATCTTTGAACAANAGGTTCTTTTCCAAATTAAAAATAATAATATATGATGTTGATAGAATGTATCATACAGAGTGCATATACCAATGCCTAGTGCTATGCTGGATTAGAGTCAAGGTGTAACTATAGAAAACAAATGTTTTGTTTACATACTGTACCATGTATGTATCTGTGTTTAAGTATTTCCTGAGTATTATATGTTTAGTATGGCAGCCTTCTGTAGTGTGATGTATGTGCTGTAAAGTACTATATTATTTTTCCGACTTTTCCAACGATTAACGACACGACTGTGTGCCGGAAATAGCTGTTCCCTAATGGGTACTTTACGCGGATTCACGTTAACGTGCCAGGCCTGGACTTTTAGCATGCACCGAATTAAATAATGACCAAGTTTGTCAATAACAAAATCAACTACACCCAGGTGATCGGTTAACGAACGAATCGGATAACGAACACTTTTGCGAAAGATTTTTATGATCGGACAACGAACATATGTTTGGATAACGAACACTTCACTGAACAAACACAAGAAGCGATGTAAAATAACGAATACCGATTGATCTTCCTTTGTCTTCAGGCAACAATTCAAAACTTTTCGGAGCGCGGGAGACGTTGACATCGATGTTCTACCCAGTATATACTGATCGGATAGTATTCCCCTGAACTTTGAAACTCTCCCTTGTAATTCCAGCCTTTTGTATTTCTGACAGAAACAATTCTTTTACGTTTTCTTCTGAAAATGCGGATTTATGCCGATACCTGCTATTAAAGATCTTTTGAAGAAGTAGGAGGATGTCAGAACAACGGTCTTAAAATGGCATCCAAACCAAGTTGAGGTTAATCTAGGGATCTCTACAATTACAATGCTATTAGTTACTTCTGAAAAATCATGAATAAGACAGAAAAGCAATCGACATTGGATAGATTCTTTAACCCCCACAAACAGAAAAAACATGACTAATAAAAATGCAAGACCGTGTATATATGTATTTTTATTATTACATATGAATAAACGTAGTAAAAAAGTATATACTTTTTTTATNATAGCCGTTACCTAACGGGTACTTTACGTGGATTCGCATTAATGTGCCAGGTCTGGACTTTAAGTGTGCACCGAATTAAATAATGACAAAGTTATTCAAAAACAATCCAATATTTAATAAAAATTCTAGTAATAACTATATACAAAATTTAGTAAAAATCAAATAACAATTTATTCAATGTAAATCAATAAGAATCAACCTGACAAAACTCAAATCAATCTATTTTCTAACTTAACTATTTCCCTTTGGAATTCAACAAAAATTCAAAGACTTAACTTATGTATAATAATTCTTATGAATTAAAGGTCCTAATCGCCATCACAGTATACTAGGAACCTTTTTCCTCAATTCTCAAGATTTCCTCTAATCTTCGATCCACAAATCGAATAACTTCAAAATCACCTTGGAACCTCTTTATCCTATCGGACACCTCTCTCTTGTTTGCTGCTACGAAGCTCACCATGCTCGTTGCTAACAGAAGCTCACCTCGGTCATCTTCACTTGTGGTTTGGTCTTTATACTGTGAGGTGACATCACAATTCTGAGTGAGATCACTTCCCTTATTTACATACTTAATGCTAACAATACCTTTCTTGTTTGCCTGCAGTCTATTTTCCAACAATACTCTCTAACCTTTTACATTATTCTTTTTGACAATTTTTGGGATGTTTTATTCTTTAAGGTTTAGCAAGTTCCTAAGTTGTGCTTGTAGGGTCTCACCCCCTTTTCTCAGTGCAGACTTACTTTTTTCTGCTCGAGAGTGCAAGTGTGCACGAGTTTTATCTACGGCGCTTTTCTCTTGTCGGTGAGTTGGTTTCTCTTCTATTTTTAAGTTTCTAAGGTGAGTGGTGAGGAAACCTTTGTCCTAACAAAACATAAGCCCCAAACAAAAATAGAATAAAAGCAAAAATAAAAATAACTAAAAAATAACGCTCAGACTTGGTTCCTTACAGTAAGAGAATTGTCATTGCTAATTCAGAGAGTAGTGGATACTCTGCTTTCAAACTAAGCCAAAAAGAATCTACTATTTCTAAACAAGAATCCATAGTAAATTTATAAAATATTTGAAAAAAAATTGATCTGTCATTAATTTTTCTGCAACCCCCAAAATATTTTTCACGATCCCCTAATTTTGTCAATGTGGTTCTGGCTGAGATAATTAGGTATTTTCCTTAGAGCTCCTTTCAAGCCCAAGACTGTCTGATGCATTTTGTACACTGTGTTAGATCCAGGTTAAAGTTGTTTGAGTTTAATGGTGTACTGTTTTTGTCTGCCAGAGTTACAGCTTTGTATAATTGCGATGTTTCTTGTTTTCTATAGAAAAACTCAGTGTCTGTATTTGTTTGTAGAACAAACAAATATTTACATATATAACAAATATAATATAACAAATACAAACTTTAGGATATCCGAAGTCTCTTCCTACCTCTTTGAGGAAGAGTTGACATTTCTACAGACTGACTGAGAATCAGTTTGTTTTGTTAATGTTGTTCATATTTTCCTTTAGAGTTGTTCTAGTTTCAAATGTACTGAGTTAATGTATGTTTATATTCAGCTATGTTACTATTGAGTTTATTCTGCTGTTGTGTAGTATTCCTTTATTATTCTGTTTCATTTATGTGTGTTCTGTGAATTTGGCCTGTTTGAATTGTAACTATGTAAATATTTATAGACTATTATTATTATTATTATTATTATTATTATTATATATAATATGATATATGATGTATAATAATAATAAGTATTAAATATATTTAAAAATTGTTTATTGATAGTATGTATTTTAAAATTTATATTATATACTATATAATTCCATGATATATTTTTGCAATGATTATATGATTATGTAAAAAGTATTGAAATCATTTTTTGTAATATTTATATAAAACACGCAAAACATATTCATGGTGTTATTACAGTTGTTGCAAATTTTACGTAAATAATTGATTATCAATTATTGCAACATCTATATGCTTGTTTTAAAGTACATAAGATGTTTTAAAATATCCAGTTTTTACTCTGATTTAATAATTGTATGAGAAGCATTGATTAAACAAGACTGTTTGAAGCTGTCAATTTAAAAAGAACTAATGTTCAGAGAATTATTTTTTTAAGAAACCTCAAAAAGCTAAATTGTATGTGCACACTGAAAGAGTCTTTGTGACAAAACTAAACAATAGGTTGCATGTAGTTTGTTCATTTACTGATGGTGGCAACTGAATTTTTTGCATGGTTTTCACAACAATTTTAAACAACTAAAATGTTTGCATTCACAAAGTATTAATTATTAATACTTTATTTTACTTAGCTTAAGCTAATTGAAGACATTTTTCTCTTTTCATACTCATTACATATTGCCTTATTATTAAGTTTAAATTAAGATTGTATAAATTATGTATATTGAATTAATTTTAATTTACTCAATATTCAATATTTACAACATTATAATGGGAAAAAAGTACAGTTGTTCTATCTAATAAATCACATAGCTGTTCATATTATATTGCAAGTAAATATTTCTTCAGTTAGATCTTCCAGATTCATAAAATTTGTAATTTGTATCATATCAGTTTGTAACATTATCATTTAAAAAAATGTAATTTGTTTATTTGATAATACAACATGTACAAGATTTCTGCAATTTATTGATTATATTAACATTTAATAAAATATATAAACCATAAAATATTTACAGTAGAGCATCGATTATCTGAATGCCAATCACCCAAAACATCGATTAACCGAAAGCATTCTAATTGGACTGTGTCGTGCTGAATCGAACGTTTTTAGTCTAATTGGACTGTGCATGCCAATTTTTAGTCCAATTGGACCAAATTGAACGTGCTGAATCGAATGTTTACTAGATTAACTTCTAAAGTATAATTTTTTTTTTTGTTTTCATATTTTTCACTATATTTATGTTTGTACAAAATAAAGAAATAAATTTTAACGATACAATAGGCACGATTATTATTATAAAAATTTTTGTTAGGCTTAACATTGATGAAAATTCAACGTAAAGCAACATGCAATGGAGAAAAATTTAAACATGGGTTATACTAATATACTATATTAATAATGTATTTTTTCATACATAATCGGTTATTCGAAACATCGATATTTCGAACAACCCCAGTCCTCAATTGATTCAGATAATCGACACTCTACTGTACTTCAAAAAACTTTTCCTATATAGTAATTGAAAGTTTTCTCAAAGCTGCAAGCATTTAAGAAATTTAGTAAATTTCAAAATATTCATTGTACAGTACATACCTTTAATAGCATGAACAATGCCTAGTCTGTAATTTCTCTTGTCACATGCTTCGTATGACATCACTGGAGATGAAACATCAAGGCAGTGGTTTTTAACTATTCAATGTCATTAACTTTCTTTGCATATACTCTGTCCTTTAAATATTTCCCCCCCAAAAATATCCATAGGCATTAGATGTGGGGAGCAAGGAATTTATGGAGTAAGTCCATTGTAGCCTATCTATTGACTGGGTAACTTGTTTAAGAATTTGCACATGTATAATCCTTAATTTGATAGAGTATTGAAAGATGTTTATTCAATGCAAAAACTGAACTGTTTTGGTTAATTTTTATTAAGAATTTTAATTCAGTCAATAAATTGTAATATCCTGTATATCATCAGAACAAACCTTTTTTGAGACTTAAGAATTTGTAAAATAATTTTTTTCAAATTTAAAAAAAAGATTCAATAATTATAGTTAAGTTTTAGCTTATCATAAGTTCAAGAAATCTAAACATTTAAAATATTTTCAATGTTTCTGATTGTAAGATTTAAAAATTTTGATAATTTGGTGATCACTTATAATTTTAATGACTTAATACTGAAAATTATTATTTATTCCAGCTACTATATTCAGTGGTGTTTTGTTGAAGCAGCCTCCTGGAGAAGTACCGAATAATCAATCTGTTTATAAAAAAATAAGTCATCAGCTGGTTGAAAGGAAAAAAGCAACATTTATTTATCATTTTTTAATGAATGATTTTGATGATTGAACCAATAAAATAAGCAATGTTGCACTCTGAATTATCAATGAAATACATTTGCAGTTTTCTATATTATAAAGAAAATTGCATGAAAACAAAGAATAATTTGCAAACTGTTTTGTTTTTTATTTTTTTCCCATTCTCCAAGTGAGAAAAGTATTCTTATATTTTGAAAATTATTATGTAATAATTCTCATTTTTCAAGAGTATGAAATGAACAGAAGAGAGTTTTCTTTTTATGTAGAATTGTTGTAAATAGTTCATTTGTATAGTAAAGTGGAGTTGAAGGAGCTATGTACAAATTAATAAATATGAAATTATATCATAAGATGCACCATTCTATTCAACAACGCATTAGCTAAATCATTGTAAAATGAAAATATCAAATCCAGTTGGATTAAGAGAAATTCAGAAGTTTAACATTAGTCCAAAATCTTTAGATATTGAATAACATTTTATGAGTGATTTTAAACAATATTTTGTTAAATAAGACTGCCATTACAATGATGATACTTAATTTATAGCAGTATAGAACAATGATTCTTGTAAAATTCCTGCATAAGAATTATTATCTGGTGAATTGTATAATGATAACAGAATTTATTTATTTAAATAAAGTGTGTAAATTAGAGATTGATAGACATCGAAATGCAATTTACAGCCAAACTATGTGACAAAAACTTTTTACTTGTCAGATCTGGTTGATGTATTTAGTATGTTACATGATACTGTGATGCAGCATGTATATCTGAATTCATTTAGTATCATTTAGTCTGATGTAAGTATATGACATACTAAAGAATTAATGCATTTGATAAAAAAGTTTAATGTCACAAATTTTGGCTCTTGTTTAGTCCTGTTATCTAAGTAGATTTTAGTTTAATGAAACTTAACACATATATGTAAATCATTGTGTTATAAAATAGATTCAAGCTTTTTATCAATTTTTGAAAGGCAGTGTATATGTTAAACTGCATATCAAAGTAAAATATTTTCTTTCACTGTTATTTATAGGATTTTTTAAAAAGTTTAAAATTTATTTAGAATTTAGATAAGTTTCTA